GCATTATTTATATTCAGGACATCTCATGAGGGTCCTTCTCATTGGTTATTCAGTACTTCTTCTGGTTGGTTATTCAGTACTCTGAGGCTCCCAGTTACTGAGGATAGGAATTGAGTCTATGTTATCTTGCTGGCATTATTACCTTGCTAACATGGCCTTACAGAGAGTAGATGGTGGCAAAACAGAATCTTGTTGCTTGTTGGCAGAACCTCAATATGTTGTTTACCCCGGTTTCACCACTTAATAGCTCTGTGATGTTGGGCAAGTCAGTTAAGCCGTCTGTGTCCTCAGTTTCCTCAATCGGAGTAAATAACTGGAGTTTCTGTGATGGTTAAATTTGTTATATCTGTAAAACTTCAAGAACAGAGCTGGGCACATAGCCCATATACATGTCCTATGTGGTTTCATAATTATGAAGACCTCTCCTCCCTGTGGGACTTTGCAATTCTTGAGGAAATGACCCACTTCATGTGTTTAGCCCCTAAACTGATATGTGGCATATGTGGTAGGTGATTGCTATATGCTTGTTGAAATGAATACCTAAGTATTAAAGGTTAGAGATTGCCTAGACAACTGAAGATGTTAGATTTGGGGAGGACCTTAGCGGTCACCAGAACAGTGAATCGTAAGTCCACTTATGATGTTAATGTATTTCAGTAGTGTTAGTATACTGGACGTTAATGTATTTCAGTAGTGTTAGTATAAGTTAGGGAGCATGCTAAATTCCAGATTTTGAACCACAGCCTAGAAGGAAATCATTTGAGCAGCAACTTAGGAATCTGAATCTTACTCAGCTTTCCTAGGGGTTTTCTGCAGCCAGCCCAGCACTTTTCTTTGATTGTCTCCCATTCTATGGATAAGGACACTGAGCACAAAGAAGTTGTGTTATCTCAGGATCAGGGAGCTTGGGAGATATTGAGATTAGGACTCAGCTAACTTGACACTGACCACTGGGTTGTGCAGGGCATCCTTGGATTGTATGAAGGGGTTGGATAAGATGATTTCCCAGACATCTCTGCCATTAGCTGTGCAGTCCTCAGAGTTATTGAGCGCCTACCCATGCCAGCTGGTGAACAGGTTTCTGGGGTGTCCAGGAAAATGAGACATGCATCCTTTTCCTGAAGGATTTTACTGCATGACTCCCATCTTGTGTCCGGAACCTTGCAGCAGGAAGTTCTGCTGTATTCACAGGAGCCAGTCCCCTACACTCTGGCCCCTCTTTCTACTCTTCCACGGTGCCCCCTGGGTTTAGAGTCATTGCCTTGTCATCTCCTTGAGGAGACTTCCCTTTCTACTCTCGTAGCTTACTGTCATGTGGAATTTCACTGCTACTCTATGCACTTACATATTTAATAGGTATTACTGGTCGCCTGTTAGTGTCAGCTAAAATTTATTGAATTAGCGAATATTAATGACACTTTTTTCAAGGGCCCACTATGTATCAGGCCATGTTCTAAGTCTTTGTCTGTATTAATTTACTTAATCCTAAGCCCAAGGAAGAGGCCACTGCTCAATATCTGAAACAATATTTGAAGTTGAATTTATTGTTTGCTCAGCAAGAGAAATCTGTACATCTCTTTGAACAAAGCAAATGTTGATCTTATCTAGAGCTTTGGGAGGCATGGGATTGAAGAGCTGGTGGACATTCAGAAGTCTGAGAGTGTAAGAGATCAACTGCCTTTCACATTTGGAAGTGTGGTTCCATAGGGTGAGGCTTGATGAACTGACTTTCAGAAGTCAAATGCCTACTAGAAACAGAAGGAGAGAGAGCACAGAAGGAGAGGGGCTCTTCTCTATGGAGAGGAGAGGAAAGCGAGAACCTCCAAGTGCAGCTTTCTTTCACAGTCCAGAGACCACAACTCAGTTTTGCCTGTTGACCCTGTTTGCTGGTTCCTCTTCCTGTGCCTCCTGTGTCTTCTCTAGGCCATGGATCGTATGAATTGCATTCTATGTCTACCCCCCCCCCCAAAGTTGTCTCCCACTCAGTTAGGTAACTTGCAATAGCATCTCAGAGAAGGGGGATATTATCATTGGTTGGTTGAAGGATCAGGAAGGTCTTCTTCTATTTAATAGTCAACAAATGTTTATCAAACTCCTATAAATCACCAGGTACTTTCTGGGTGCTACAGAAACAAAAGTGAAACCAACAGACACAAGCTTACATTCTTATAGAGCCAAACCCCTATTGGAGAGATAGATATTTAGACAAATATTTAAGTAAGTTTATATTGTATGTGACATCATCATGGTCACTACTTTTGAGTCAAATAAAGCAAAGAAAGAAGGCAGGGGTGAGAAGTGGCTATGGTTTGAAATAAGGTTGTCAAGAAGGCCTCTTTGAGAAGCTCATGTTTAAGGAAAGAGTGAAGAATAGCAAAGAGACCAAAGTGGATGGAACTTGGTGAGCTTGGAGGACAGTAGTGATAGATGAGGTTTGAAGTCCAGTAGATGATGGGGACAGGGGATCATTTAGGGCCTTAGAGATCACTATAAGGACTCTGACTTTTTGGTTGAGGAGATAATGTGATCTGATTTATTGATTCAAGGCAACATAGGAGCTACTAGGTTGAGCACAGTCCCCATGGCATGCACGACAAGGATGAGAGCCAGAGGCTCAGCTGGGAGGCTACTGCACTAATCCAAGCATTTCATGGTGGTTTGGACTAAGGTGATGGTGGAAGGGGTGATGCAAAACAGTCATATTCTGGATCTATTCTTCATGGAAGTTTCTGCCCATTGAAAGGCTTCATTATTAACCACTATACACTCTAACGGTTAGACTGGAAATCCTGGGTACACATTCCAGAAGATCACAGTTTGATGTACTTATGCAACCTCCAGACGGTCTTTTCCACCCTGGGAAAAGGCATGGGGAGGAAAAGGCACATCGTTGCATCTGGCAATAGAAACAGAATGTATCTATCAAGAAAAGAAGCATAATCTATGCCCAATTCTTTTTAGTTTTTATAGATTTTCTCATAGATAAATGCATGAAATATGGGGATTTCTTAAATTGATTGCTGTGGAGACAAGATGACTTGAGTTTCAATTTCACTGCTTTTTTGGTTGCGAGTGGGTGTTTGACATTTTGTGTGTGTGTGTGTGTGAGAGAGAGAGATACAGAGAGAGAGAGAGAGAGAGAGAGAGAGAGAGAGAGAGAGATTGATTCTGAGAGGGCTACAGAGTGGCTGCTATTCCCTGAACAATAAAAACCTGAAATTCTACTAATGAGGTTAAAAAAACTAACTTGTTCTCTGCCTAATAATAGGCCTGCCTACTGACATAACCAGGGTTCCCTGAATAATCGCCCTCTTTTCCAGTTTATTTTTAGAATCTAAAATTTGGGGGAGGAAAGTGCCTCTAGGTGTACAGCCTTCCCACCTGAAAGCTCGATTCCCGGGCTTCCACATTTGGCCTAAGCCATGGCGAATGCATCCCTTCAAGGGAAAAAAAGTAAAAGTGAAGGGTGGAACTGAAAGTCATCCTTGGAGCTCTGGGTCATTTACCCTTCATCTTGAGATGAAAAGATTGATCCTTTGCTGCAGACCCTGTCTTTTCCAAATGGGGGAATTGGGGAAATTTTTAAAATTGTGCCATTTTTATCTGCCTCCAATGGACACCATTTGGGTTTGCCAGTAACCAAAGTAAAGGGTTTATACAGCCACAGAATTTTACCAAAATAAACTACTTTGAGGAAAAGAGGGACTTTAGGGCATAATAAATGTTAATACCATTAGACCCTTTATTAAGCATAAGAATATTTGAAATACTTATGGGCCACCAGCATATTTAAGATAGATTTACAGAGTACAAGTAAGGCACTCTTCTGGTTGTGCTGCTGAAAATATTTGTAAAAAACTGTTTTTGGAAATTTCTACAACCCAAGGAACATGAATGTTACAGGGAGGAAAGAGAGACACTGATTAGAGAAAGAATAAAATCAAATTAACGCTTGTGGCAGATATTGGTGGACTATTTGGACGAAGTTGCCAGAATTATTTTTGTGGAGGGCTATTTTGGGTAGGCAGTAACCTTTATTCTCAGATATAGATTTCCATGTTGACTTTTAACCTTTAGTCACTGACTAGCAGTTGTACATTCCTGAAAATGTTCTGGTTCATCCTTCTGCCTGTGCCCAAACTGCAAGTTTGAAAGGCTTAAGGGTATCAAGTGTGGGTTTACACCAAGCTCCCTTTCTTTTATTCTCTTTTCATAAGAAAGTGGCTGGGTACCTGTGAGGAGGGGCTCTCAGGGACAAAGCAGTGTTTTTAATAGAGAAGGTCATTTAAACATGAGCTTTAAATGTAAAATTAAGAGAGGTGACATTTAGATAATTTGTTCTTCTTCAGGAATGACTTATTCCTACCAGAGGAAAAGATGGCAGTCCTTAGCAAATTACAGGAGAGTGCATGGGCACAGAATAGACCTGGGCTTGAGTCTCCAGCCATCTTTTTGTACCTGTGTTTGAAAGGTGTTTGCAAGAGTGAGTAAAGTAGGTTGAATTTACATTTCTTGAGCTCCTCCACACTCTCTGATGCTAAACAAGATGCTGCAGGAATGGAAAATAGAACTTTCTTTCCTTAACACTATTATGCCATTGGAAACTATAAAAAAAAAAACTGTCAGCTTCAATGCCCACGTGTATTAAAAGAGATATGGGGCGTCTGGGTGGCATAGTCAGTCTAGTGTCCCACTTCGGCTCAGGTCATGATCTCACGGTTTGTGAGTTCGAGGCCCGCATCGAGCTCTGTGCTGACAGCGGGGGGACCTGGAACCTGCTTCGGGCTCTGTGTCTCCTTCTCTCTCTCTCTGCCCCTCCCCCACTCATGCTCTGTCTTTCTGTCTCTCAAAAATAAATAAAAACATTAAAAAAAAAGAGAGATAATTCCATTCGAAGTTGGGTAGTGATCCATCTCTCCCCTTGTGTTGCACTGTGATCTAATTAGATTCTATCTCAAACATGATTTGTTTGTGTCCTTCTAGGCGATGCCCAGCAGCAAGAGATGGTTCCGAGTAAGAAGAGCGCTGTCCTTGTGGATGGGGTTGTACTGAATGGCCCCACCACGGATGCAAAAGCAGGAGAGAAATTTGTGGAAGAGGCCTGTAGGCTAATAATGGAAGAGGTGGTCTTGAAAGCCACAGATGTCCGTGAAAAGGTAAAAATAAAAAAATACCTATAAGAAATGTGAGGAATGGAAAAGATCGGTTCTTTCCGAATCTGGTAGTTCGATGTAAGGGACATGGGAAGCTCATGCTGTTATTTCCTCTATACCTTTGTTTCAAGGGGATCCCAGACCAAAGTGTGAGCCCCCACTCCCAACCCCCCAGTATCTACTTTCCTGTAAGGGTTGGTGCCTAACTTTGCCAGCCACCATTTGTTGGGAGACTGGTTGAGACCCCAGACCTTAACGATGAGGGCATGAAACACAGGAATGAAGCTTCTGCCCTATAACAGTGTTGATTATAAATAACCCGATGATCTGATTTATACACTCTCTAAAAAATATTCTGCTCTCCATTTTCTTGGCACATTCTTTTTGTTACTAGTAAGAAAATGAGCAGAATGTGTAAAAGGGTATGAGAAGTTTTAAAATTTACTTAAAGGTCCTTCCTGGGAGCTGGTCTGAGCTTAGCCTGGAATTCTTGGGTAAGTCTGACTTCTGAGCGCAGGGCATACTAGTCCTAGGTTTCAAATTCAGGCTCAAATTCAGATTGAAATTGATACTGGAATTATTACTAACAACTTCTACACTTAAGAGTACTTGCTGTGTGCCAGGTGATGTTCTCAGGACTATTTCATATTGTGCATTTAATCCTTACAAAATCACTAAGAAGCAGGGGCTATATGTTAACTCTCTTTTAAGGATGAGGAAAAAAGTGAGGCACAAGGAGGTCAAGTCCTTTGCCCAAGATCACGTGTTAGTTAGTAGGTTTTAGAGCTGGCACTAAAATCCATGCAGTCTGGCTTTAGTCTGTGCTTTGAACTTTTCTTCTCTACGTCTCTTATAATTGCTAAATTATCCTTTACCACATTGATTATCTTTCATATTGGAGTTGAATTAGCAACAAATAGATGTATAGGAGGGATTCTTATTCCAATTCTATTAGTCAAAAATAAATATCATTTAAGAAAGATTCTGAATGTGGTGTGGTATTTATTCTGAATTTTTGATCACATGCATTTGGGAAAACTAACAGGAATAAAGATGAAAGAACCTCATGAACTTAGGATAGCTACATTCAAAGCAAAAATCACTGTGGTATTTCTTGATTACATATTTATAATGGCATTTTTTCTGGTTTTATCTGTACTTGTGAAATATTTTGGACCTGCTTTACTGTGGAGCACACTGCTTTCCTGGTGAGCTTTTTTCTTTTTTTAATTGGCCTTTATTCAGTCATTAAATATTAACTGAGTATTAGCTACGGGCAAGCCATTATATTTGGCCCTGGGGGGTATAAAGACAAATAAGATAAAAGCTCAGCTTTGAACAGAATTTATAGTCTAATTGGAAGGATATGTTTTCATTGGACAAGAGAATAGGGGGTCCCAGTAAGAATGCGATAAATGTGTGTGATTGGGGCTGACATCAGGGATTTCACAGAGGAGTGGGCAGTCTGAGCTTTGATGTGGGATGTGAAGGTCAAGTAAGATTTTGAAGGGCAGAGAGAAGCCAACCATGTGTGCTGAAGAAAGCAGGAAGATAAAGAATGGAAGTTTTGCCCAGAAAGAAGGGCTCTTATAGGTGACTAATGGGAGATAAGACAAGAAGGAGAGGCTTCAGATCCTGTGTTATCAATTAAAGAACCACAAGTTGATTGGAGTATAGTCACCATGCAGGCTGTCCATGTGAAGTTGGGTTGAAAGCTATGTTGAACTTGGGAGAAGGAGGTAGAGTTTTTATATCATGAATTAGTCTACTTTGTCAGAGATCCAAGAGGGCACCTTTAAAAGACGACCTTCTGATACATCCCCACACTTCGTGAGTTGATTACTTCCAGTGCCTTCTCTTACAGACATTCTTTCTCAGGCACTTAAAAAAAACTGAGTTATAGGGGCGCCTGGGTGGTTGAGTCAGTGAAGCACCAGGCTCTTGACTTTAGCTCTGGTCATGATCTCACAGTTCTTGGGTTTGAGCCCCACATTGGGCTCTGCGCTGACAGTGTGGAGCCTGCATGGGAGTCCATCTCCCTGTCTCTCTGCCCCTCCCCTACTTTCTCTCTATCTTTGTCTCAAAATAAGTGAAACTAAAAAAAACCTTGAAATAAAAAATTGAGTTATAATTTACATTAGTAAAATTTGCTCCTTTTGGTGTATAGTTACAGGAGTTTGCTACGTCATGTAACTACACCATAATCAAGATACAGAACAGTTCTATCACCCCTCTATCATCAACCCTAGGCCCCTCTGTAGTCAGCCCTGGCCCTCGTCTTAGCCCCTGACAACTGCCAATCTGTCTTCTGTGCCTGTATTTTTTTTTTTTTTTTGCCTTTTCCAGAATTATTAGATAGGTGGGATTCTATCACAAGAGGGCTTTTGAGTCTTGTGATTTTTCCCTCAGCAAAATGCATTTCAGATTTATTCATGTTGTGTATACAGGGATGCCTCATTTCACTTTAGTGCCCTTTGCAAATATTATGTTTTCTACACGTTGGATGTCTGTGGCAACCCTGTATCAAGTAACTCTATTGTTGTCATTTTCCAACAGCATTTGCTCCGTTCATGTCTGTGTCACATTTTGGTAATTCTCACAATATTTCAAACTTTTTCATTATTATATTTGATACATATCATAACAAGTTATAACATATATTATACATATTATAACAACATAAAATATAACAATATTTTTTATGGTTTCTTACAATCAAGGATCTTTACTGTTACTATTGTAATTGTGTTGAGGCACCACAGACCACACCCATATAAGACAGTGAACTTAACTATATGTATTCTGACTCTTTTACCCATTGGCCGTGCCCCTGTTTCTCCCCCTGTTTTGAGACACAACAGTATTGAAATAAGACCACTGAATATCCCTAAAATGGCCTCTGGATATTCACATGAAAGGAAGAGATTCATGTGTCTCTCTTTAAATCAAAAGCTAGGGGGTGCCTGGATGGCTCAGTCGGTTAAGTGTCCGACTTCGGCTCAGGTCATGATCTCATGGTTTGTGGGTTCAAGCCATGCGTTGGGCTCTGTGCTGACAGCTCAGAGCCTGGAGCCTGCTTCGGATTCTGTGTCTCGCTCTCTGTCTCTTAAAAATAAACAAAAATGTTAATAACACATTTTTAAATCAAAAGCTAGGAATGATTCAGCTTAGTGAAGCAGGCATTTTGAAAGCTGAGATAGGCCAAAAGCTAGGCGCTTTTTGCAGCCGCATTGTGACTACGAAAGGGAAAGTTCTTCAGGAAAATTAAAAAGCGCTACTCCAGTGAACATTTGAATGATAAGAAAGTAAAACGACCTTCCTGCTGATATGGAGAAAGTTTTAGTGCTCTGGGTGGAAGATCAAAGCAGCCACAACATTATCTCTCAAGCCAAAGCCTGACCCAGAGCAAGGCCCTTACTTTTCTCCATTCTAATAGGGCTGAGAGAAGTGAGAAATCTGCAGAAGAGAAGTTTGAAGCTAGCAGAGGGTGGTTCATGAGGTGTAAGGGAAGAAGACATCTCTATAACAAAAAATTCAAGGTGAAGCAGCCAGTGTTGATGTAGAAGCTACAGTAAGTTCTCCAAAAGGCCTACACTGAACACAGTTTTTCAATGTAGATGACATAGCCTTCTGCTGGAAGATGCCATCTAGGATTTCTGAGCTGGAGAGGAGAGGCCAGCTTCAAAGCTTCAAAGGACAGGCTGACTCTCTTGTTAGGGGCTAATTCAGCCGGTGACTTGAAGTAGAAGCCAGCGCTCATTGACCATTCTGAAAATCCAAGGGCCCTTGAGAATAACACTAGAGTCACTCTGCCTGTGCTCTGTAAATGGAACAACAAAGCCTGAATTGCAGCACCTCTGTTTATTAATGTTTTTTTAATTTATTTTTTTAATTTTTAATTAATTTATTTTTTATTTCTAAGAGAGAGACAGTGTGAGCAGGGGAGGGTCAGGGAGAGAGGGAGACACAGAATCTGAAACAGTCTCCAGGCTCTGAGCTGGCTATCAGCACAGAGACCGCTGCGGGGCTCGAACCCACGAACCATGAGATCGTGTCCTGAGTCAGATGCCTAACCGACTGAGCCACCCAGGCGCCCCTGACAGCAACTCTGTTTATAGCATAGTTTACTGAATATTTTAAGCCCAAAGTTGAGACACACTGCTCAGAAAAAAAGGTTCCTTTCAAAATATCACTGCTCATTCACAATGCACATTGTCACCACAGAGCTCTGACAGAGAGGTACCAGATGAGTGGTCCCGTGCCTGCTACCATGACACCCATTCTTCAGTTCGTGGATCAAGGAGCGATTTCAGCTCTCAGGTCTTATTATTGAAGAAATATATTTTTTTAAGGTCATAGCCACTGTAGATAGTGATTCTTCTGACAGATAGGGGCCAAAAAGCAAACAAACAAACAAAATTCTGGAATGGATTTGCCATTCTAGATGCAATAAATAACATTTGTGAAACATGGGAAGAAGTCATAGTATCAACATTAATGGGAGTTGGGAAGAAGTTGTTCTAACCATCACAGATGACTTTGAGGGTTTAAGACTTTGATGGTGTTAGTGCGGTGGAAACAAGAGAAGCAGAATAAGAAGCGGAGCCTGAACATGGGACTGAACAGCTGCAACCCCATGATACAACTTGAAGGGATGAAGGCTTGCTTCTTATGGATGAGCAGAGAAAGAGATTTCTTGAGATGAATCTACTGCTGGTGAAGATGCTGTGAAGACTGTTAAACTGACAACAAAAGATTGAGAATGATACATGAGCTTAGCTGACAAAGTTGAGAGGCTTGACTTTGATTTGATACAAAGCCCTCCTGTGGGCAAGATGCTACCAGAAAGCATCACATGCCACCGAGAGACCATTCATGAAAGAAAGAGCCAATTGATGCAGCAAACTTTAGTGTTGTCTTATTTTAAGTAATTGCCACACAGCCACCCCTGCCTTGAGCAGCTGGCCCCTCGATCAGTCAGCAGCCTTCAACAGGAGAGGCCATGCCCTGTGCAAGATGATGGTTTGCGTCTTTTAGCAGTAAAGTAGTGTTGCTTCATAATCTCCTCAGAGCTTCTTGGGTGAAATCTGAAACTGGCTCCTGGCTGAGGGCAGGGAGAGACCAAAGAAATAAATAGGTCACTCCAGATTGGCGGTGGCAGTTTTAATGAACAAAGGGAACTTACATAGGAGACTTGGCTTGGGCAGCAGTAAGATGAGTGGATCCCCGTGCCTGCCCGCCACATCTGGAAAGTTCACATACATAGATCTAGATAGAGGCCTCAGCTGGGTTCAGCCACGCACACTGTGCACTGTTCTCAACACCTCACCATCGTCTCCAGGCTGTGCCCTCGGAACAGCCTGGGAGCAGGAAAGGCAGACAGAACCGACATTCCAAGGATAGGGAGGGGGTGAGAAGCCTCCAAGTGCCTGGGTCCAGCTCGAGGGTCATCTGGGTGGCCACCTCTTCTCGAGGACCTCCCCCTACAAGTGTTTTTTGATTAAGGTATGTACATTTTTTAAGACGTAACACTATTGCACAGTTAGTAAGCTATATGGTATGGTGTAGACGTCATGTTTATATGCACTGGGAAATCAAAACCTTTGTTGGACTCACTTTAGAGCGATAGTGACTTTATTGAGGTGCTCTGGAACCGAATCTGTGGTATCTCTGAGGTTCACTCATATCAGTAGTCATTCCTTTTGATGGTCTCAGTCACGTTTGATTTACCTCTGCCTGTCATGGTTCTCACATCAGACTTTAATTTCATACCTCTTGTACAACTTAGTATTTCCCCCTTCTTCCCAACCTCCCACCTCCTAGTCTCCTGACTTCCTGGCTACTCCCTTGTCTCTCTTCCCCTCCACAGCCGAACTTTTTAAAGATTGTCTACACTCCCTCCCTCCCTCTCTTTCCTCACCTCCCACACCCTCACTCCATGGCAATCTGGCCCTCACTCCCACCTCTCTAAGCCAAATTGATATTGCCAAGAACACCTCCTTGTTGATAAATTCCATGAACACATCTCAATCTTTATCAAATTTGGCCTCCCGGCAGGATCTGACAGTGATGACCATCTTCTCCTTCAAACGTTCTTTTTTTCCCCTTTGTTTGAGCAGCACTAAACTCTTCTCAGATTGTCCCTGCTTCTCTGGCTTGTCTTCCACCTCACAAGTGAGTTCCTCTCCCTTCGCCTGTATCTTAAGTGTTGTTGGTGCCCAGGTGGGATCCTGTGCCTTTCTTCTTAGCGGTAGGTTCACTCTGAGCCGTGTCATCCATGTTGTATCTTCATGGTATATGCCTAGAATGGTGTTTCTTGTCTTTCACAAGAGCTTCAGACCAACTGCTGCCCTCTTTCGGGAGGTCCTGAGAGGCCTCAGACTAAACATGCTCAAAACTCATCATCTCCACCCCCCATCCCACCAGACTCTCCCCCCAACACCCCCATCACCACCATTAACCCATGCACGCAAGCTACAGACCTCAGGGTGGTCCATGGCCCATTCCTCTCCCTCATCCTTACTATGTAATTGATTTCTGAGTCCTATTGATTCTTTATTTTCAATATCTCTGGAAGTATTTCATTCCAGTAGTATCTACCTCATCCAGAACACCACCTTCTCTCGCCCAGTTTATTAGAGCCACCTCTTAGTTTCAATTTTACTTGGAATCTTCACATGGCAGCTAAAGCTATTGTCCAAAACACAAATATGTTCATAGCATCCCCATGTCCCAGACATTTCAATGTCTGCCTTAGAGCCAAGTTCATACTTTGTAACGTGCCACAGAAAATCTGTCATGATCAGAGTCTTGTTTATCCTTTTCATTCCTTCACTCATCCTTTGATTCATCACATGTTTATGGAGCACTTCTTGCAGCGGGGGGACTGTGTTAGGTTCTTGGGAGCAGCAAGCACAGATGGACATCTCTGCTCTTGTGGACATGAAGTGGGACATAAGAAATGAATTACATGGTATGTTGAAAGGTGATAAGTACTATGGGAAAAGGAGGAGCCAGAAAAGTTAGGGCAGCTGGCAGAGACGGGTAGAGTTCAGCTGGTGATGTAAATAAGGGAATCAGGATTGCTAGCATTGAGAAAGTGACTTTTGAGCAAAGCTTTGGAAGGACAGAGGAGGTTAGCCAGGCAGAGGGCACAGCCAGTGTGAAGACACCAAGGAGGGAATGTGCTTGGTGTTATTTAAGGAAGAATAAGGAGGCCAAGGTAGCAGGGCAGAGCCAACCAGGAGGGAAGCAGATTATACAGGATCACGTTAAATCATTGTGAGGACTTTGGCTTTACTTTGAAGGAAGTGAGCCACTGAGATATTTCAGCAGAGGAAGGACCATAGCTTAGATTTAAGAGGCTCATTCTGGATTCTGGCTGCTAGGCTGCTAGATTGTATGGGGCAAGGACAAGGGTACAACGGAGACCAGCTCGGAAGTTATTTTGGTGTTCCAGCTTCCCTTCTTGCCTCTCCTTCCTCAAACTCCATGCTCTAGCCACACCAAACTGACTTCACTCTTCAGAGGTGCCCCTTATATTTTAGCCTTTATGTCTTCCATTCCTTCCACCTAGAGTGCCCCTTGCCTCACCCCATTGCCTAATCTTTGCTTGGTTATCTATCAGTTCCTTCAGGAGAACTTTGACCTTCCAAATCCAAGATGGTGCCCCTCATTTGTTCCAATGACACCTGGGTCACTCTCACAGCCTTTCACGCTGAGCTGTGGTTGTGCATTTAAGTCTTGGTCTCTCCCACCTGTCTGGAAGCTTCCTGAGGGGAGGGTCCATGACTCTGACATCCTCTTCATACTTGCCTCCGGTGGGTGCTCTGTTAACTACTGTTGCTGAATGTCCAGGTCTGTGAGTGGCGCCCTCCTGAACTTCTGAAAGAGCTTCTTGATTTGGAGATGAGAGACACAGGAGAGCCACACCACAGGCTGCTGGAGCTCTGCAGGGATGTCATCCACTACAGCGTCAAAACGAGTAAGACCTTTCATTTGCTTCCTTCTTCTGTCCCCCTAATAAGTTCTTACATTTTCTGAAGCACCTATTTACCTCAGAGGAAAGCTGCATATGACAGTGTTTATGGGATAAGAAAGCTGGACCACAAAAGAGTGGCTCTGATGTTTTTGCAATAGGCCATTTAATCCCTAAAAGATTTTTTGTCAAGGCCAAAGATAAATTGATGGAAAAGCTGTTGGCATCCATGGTCATATAGAAATCTCATCTGTTCCTTGGCAATCCCCATCCGCCATTTATAATCAAGACCATAGATAAGGACTGTTACTTCTCATTATGTTGGTCCAAATTGCCAGAGGTTAGTTTGATATTAGAATTTGTTAAGGGGTTTTAAACCTTAAAGGCCCAAAATATGCAAAAAGAAAAAAAATGTGAAAGGGGGGCATCCTTACGATAAACAGGAATAGATGTGGAAGATACCGATGAACTTTTTGCAATTGGTACTTGCCAAATTGTTTTATCAAATCTAGCACGATCCAAAATGAAAACCCTTAGAATGGTGTAAAAAAAAAAAATAGACACATGGTAAATTTTTGCTGTGATAGCTTGAGAATGAGACTTTACAACTCTGATCTTTTGTAAATTCAGTAGCATGGTATCAGTCAAGTGCCGAAGTATGATTCTAACTGTTCATATTCCGTACACCCAGTGAGGAAGTTCCAAAGGTAAGGAAGTAACTTTCCCAAATACGCATTTCTCAGTGCGCTGTAAAGGTAAACTAGTGCTTAAGACCATACCGGCATTATGCTTTGTGAATTCTGACACTGAACTAAATTTAGTGGAAAGAACATAATAAAATCCTGGCTAAAAATAATTGGTTTATATTCCCTTGGGAAAGTCTGGTGTATGTATCAAAAACCCAGTTAGCATTTCAAAAGCAGAGATATATATCTTATTATTATAGTCCGTGTCAGAAGCGGAGAATGACATTTAATGCAGGAGATTTTTCAGTTTACTGGATATTTTCCATAATGTTACCATGGAAATCAATCATAAATTAACACGGAACTAAAAACAAATCGTATTAAAATTACCTGTAGCAATGTCTGGTTTCCGTTGCCAGAGTAGAGGAAGTTTTCCACGTATTCTTTTTACAAAAGCCATTGGACTTTTGTTTTTTATCAAGCCCCCAGTTTAAAGAGAAAAAAACAAACAAACCTAAAACCGAACACTCTAAGTTGTAATGAGAAGTCACTAACTAAAAAGGTCCACAAATACTCAAATTCAGAAATAGGCCTTCTGCCTCTTTGTTCTTTGTCATGCTGGGCTTCCTATGACTGAGAATGTCAAGTCAGTTAGCCTGGGGTTTGGTGTGAATATTCACACTGTATAAAGCCAAGAACCTTTATGAGACCTTTTATAGGAGGGGGAAAAAAATAGAAAGTTGGAACTGAAGTTGAGTCTTAAAGGCTACTGCCTTTGAAGTGAGTTGAATTAGAAAGTTTATGTAAGCCACATCATGAGTCAGATCTTACTCCATCTACATAAGCCAGTTGCACTAAGAAACCGGTCTAATCTGAAAAATGAAAAGTCACTCCCTGTGGGTAGCCCAACGTGAACCCTGTTGGTGAGTGAAATGGGTTTAAAGATAGGGAAGTTAATATTGATACTTTTGGAAGATAAAGGTAGCAGGCTTTGATATGTGGACAAAGAGTTCAAATAATCCAGTTCTCAAGGGTTCTGGTTTGGATCTAGGTTGTAGAAAAAAGGGTGCCCAAGTTCTGCTCAGAAACATATTATTGTTCCGTAGAAATGAGGTGGGTCTTCAACATGTGTTTCCCTTGTACACAATTAGAATTTGAATTCTTTTTAAAGCCGATGTATAATTTACATTAAGTAAAGCAGACAAATCTGAAGTGCTCGGCTCCATGTATTGGTATATATCTGTGCATGAGTAGTCATCACTCAGCTAGATAGAGACCATGTTGGGCACCCCGGAAGCTCCCTCAAGCCCCTTCCTTCTCAGTGTCCCCTTCCCAAAAGTACCCAAAATTCTACCCTCAGTCTCTATAGATCAGCCTTGCCTGATATGGACTGTCATCTAAGTGGAGTCATGCAGTGTATATTCTTTTATATCCGGCTGCCTTTTCTGTATGAAAGATTGGTGTATGTTACCGCTGTATACATAGTCTTCTTTTTTAATGCCGTGTAGATGAATACTCTGTTTAAATTTACAGACCACCCAAGATTTTTCAACCAGTTGTATGCTGGACTTGATTATCACTCTTTGGTGGCCCGATTTATGACGGAAGCATTAAACCCAAGTGTGTAAGTACCATTTTACTGAACTCTTACACTCAACATGCATTAGAGATGTTTTTTAAGTAGATGAAGTTTTGTTTCATGAATTTCTATTTAATGGTTTCATTTGCCTGGTGTCAGCATAAATAATGGAATGACACTTAGTGGGATTTTAAAGAGCTGTTTGCTTTGATAGTGGTACTGTAAGATGGTTAATACAGGCATGGTTATCTCCACTTACCTGATGAGAAAATTGATAAGGCAACTTGTCATTCATTCTTACATGATAAAGCCATGTCTCTGCCAAGTGTGGACAAGAGATATTGAGTAAAAACAGAACTTCACTTTGCCTTCATGAAGCAAAAGTTCTAGTGGGATAGAGATGTACCATGCAAATTAATCAAAATTAGCTGCACAAATTGATGTAAGAAGAAGTGCATGATGCTATAACTATAGTTTATATTTATAAATATATTAGGAGACTCTTTCCTAGTTGGGAGCTCAGGAAAGTCCTTTCTGAGGAAGTGACAACAAAGAGTTGAAGAATGAGTATAAGTTAATTAGATGAAAAGAGGAAGGATGAGTTTCAAACAGAGGGAACAGCATGTACAAAGGCCTGTGGTAGGAGACAGCATGATGTACCTTATGAACTGAAAGATCAGTGTGGGTGTAGCTGAATAAGCTATGGGGAGTGTAATGAAGGATATGATAGGAGAACATAGAAAACAGATATGCAGGACCCAGGAGGCCGTGTTTATGAGTTATCCTAAGTACAAAGAAAAAGCACTAAGGGTTTCTAAATCATTAGGTGCCATTTGCTTATTGAAAAGGTCATTGGAAATATGGAGAGTGGATTGGAGGGGGACCGTCAGGAGGCCATAATCTTAGTCAGGTGAGAGAGGACAGTAGCTTGGACTTAGAAGTGATAGGAATAGAGAGAAAAACGTGTTTAGGAGACAAAACAGAATGGCCTGGATAACATATTGGACTTTGGAAATGAGGACAAGTAGGACATTTTTATAAAATGTTGCCTGGGTTTCTGGCTTTTGTAGCTGGGTTGACAGTCGTGTCATTCATTGAGGGGACTGGTTTTGAAAGATGTGGTAAAAAGGGAAAAGCAAGAATTTAATTTTCAGTTGTGGGCAGTTGAATTTACAGTGACTTTGAGATATTCAAGAGTATGTCTGAACCAAGCTGAGATCTCTGTGAAAGGTATCAGTTTAGAAGCCCTGGTGAATGATGGTAATTGGAATGGTAGGCATGGGTGGGATTCTGTGTCAGTGAAGCTCAACTCTTCCTGTTCATTAGAATCAACCTTGGACATTTCCAAAAAATATATTGAGGCCTGGGTCCCAACCCAGACCAATCAAATTTGAATTTCTGTGGCTGTGTCCCAATCACCAATATGATTTTGATGAGCAGGGTGAAAGCACTTTGAATAGAAACAAATCAGGAGATGGAGAAGCAGTGTCCTCAGGACAGAGTATAGAGTGAGGACAGAAGCATGGGACTGAGCCTTGAGGATGTCTAATATTTCACCATTAGGAGGAGGAACACTAGCTTACCATGGAGAGAAAGAGAGGGGAAGGTGAAAATCAAACAGGGAGGCATGGGAGCCATGGAGTTGTATGTATCTAGAATCATATGCTGTTGAGTATTTACCTAAGGCAGAGACTCAAAATTGTCCCTTGAGGTTGGTAGCATGAGTGTCATTGGTGACTTCAGTTAGAGAAGTGATGGTGGCATAATGCGAGGCGATAACCAAGGTACAGCAAGTGGAACTGTTCAGTGAGTGGTAGATAGGCCAGAAGAGAGTAAAGTTGGCCAACTCTGTGAACCTTTCCCTGTGTGTCTTGGGGTTTCTACCTTCTTTTCTGGGTTCTTTGAGTTGAAACCCTGAGAGGTTTACAAAGTGTTAAATTGCTGCCAAGCGGAACAATCCATTCAACATGTGAGCAAGTCATGAGAGCTTCTCCCGCCTCCTCCATGCTTGTTCTCAGGTTTAAAGTTGAGCTACCTTTCAAAGGTAGCCTTAATATTCATTTTTTTTTAAAAAGTGGATTATTATTTCACCACTTTGCAGGTACACATAAACATATATACTTTTCCCCCACACTTTTGATATGTGTAAACTCGTTGCCTAGCATGTTTGAAAATAGAACTTGGATCGTTTGCAAAATGACATGATGTCTGAAGACTGCTTGGCACATAGGGAGGTGACACAGTGTTGTCTGTTTTTTTGTTTCGTTTCATTTTGTGTTTGTGTTTTGCCCCATTTCCAACGTTTTCTCTTCTAAATGTTAAAATATTTGCATTAAATTCTGTGACTGTAAGTCTAAGTGTTGTCTGTTTAATGTACATATTTAGAGCGTACATTTATTCAGATGCACTTTAATGTAATGCATCTAATTGTTAGAGAAGGCGAATATAGATAGTTAGTCACCCTCAGATTATCTGGAGAAAGAAGAGACTCAGATACTACATAACAAGGCATGGTAACCATCCCAGGTTGGTTCTCTGGGAGACTGCTCTAGATGGAGTTGAGCAAGCAGGATGTGTATTAAGCAGTGTCTTTGGGATCAACATGGGTGAAGGGAGGGGAAGGCGACAGGAGTGGAGAGAGACAGGAGTCCAGCTGTCATTCAGGCTCAGTGACAACCTTAGCCAACTCCATGGAGATCTCTCAAGTGACAATGCCCCTTTAGAGTGGTCTGGAGCTGGGTCCACATGGCCTTTACCCCTCCAGCTAGACCACTCATAAGAGGAAAGATAGTGACCTTGGGAAAGGCGGCTCCTTGGGGCTGAGGCAATTCCCAAAGGGGCTGACTTCGTGTCCTCTGCCAACAGTGGTTCTGCCCGGAGCAACAAACCCTTCAGGGACAGGGGATTTGGGTGGTGCTTTGCAATAAAATCATCACACAGTAAGATGCCCCACAGAGCACTTCCCATTTGCACAAACACAGGAATGTAATAGAGGGAACCCTAGTTCAGGGTTAGTAGTTTCCATGTAAAATATCTAGAGCTGACTGTCAGGGTCTTCGCGGCAGTAACCTAGTAAACACCCCATTCCCATGACCATGGCTTTTCTTTAACCAGAGTCCAAAGCAGCATCCAGAGAATAAAATGGCCACTGCTCGTGGCTAATGCAAAGATTCTAGATGCTCTGCCTTTCTCTCTCCCTTCCTGTAAATCAAGACTGCCCAAGTAGCTTGCATATCCCCAAGGCCACCAGCTATTGGCACTTATCAAATCATGACTAGCACTGTCATTGACTGCACGTTTCTCTAGTTCCAATGGGATACATTTCTAAAGACCCTACAAAGGCTCCACCTGCACGTCGATAGCCACTTAGTTTAATGAATCTTCTGTGTGCATTTCTCGGGACACCAAAGGGATGGTTTGACTCTAGTCATAGAAGTGAAGTGTTTTTTATATCTATCTAGTTATACGTATGAGGTGTCCCCAGTGTTTCTGTTAGTGGAAGAAGCGGTTCTGAAGAAAATGATTGAATTTATTGGCTGGAAAGAAGGGGATGGAATATTTAATCCAGGTAAGTACAGCTAGTTATTGCCATCTCCCTTCCATTGCAAACATCTAAACATTCATTCATGTGTTATCTGAGGAAGAACCCCTTGAAGACGTACACATTCTCCAAAGTTGGATGTTAATAATGCTGTTTGTTGAACATCTAGCATGTTCCCCTCTCTGGAGTGATGACACTTTGCATAGATGCTAAATAACTGACATAAATGTTAAAGAAATGAGACAGCCACCATTTAGGATTTATATCTAACAAATAAATTTATCTGCTCCTGGGAATGTGGAAGGGCTATCCGTTTTTCAACCAATTTTACTTGAAAAGTTTTCTGAGTCACATTTTGTTTGTCCTACAGTCCTTTCTTGGGACTGTAGATGAGCATGAATTGTCATTTTATTAATCAGGTGACACAATATTATTAATGATGAAGACCTGGGTACTGGCCCTCGTCTTTAGATTGAAACCTTTAGTTTGGGAAACTCTGGAATGAGAGAATAGAGCAAAACATCAGTGTTTGCTGGGAGTGGAAATTGCTGGAACTGGAGGTTAGGAAGTGTGAAAGAGTGACGGGTGGGACACGGTGTGCAGAAGACTCTTATGGAGATTTGTCATTAGACTAGAGCAGCTGTAGCCATTCATGTCTTCCACAGTGGTTGGCACTTAGGGAACTGTAATTTTATGTTATAAATATGCCATTTCAATTTTGTTTTTGCAGGTGGCTCAGTGTCCAATATGTATGCAATGAATTTAGCTAGATACAAATACTGTCCCGATATTAAGGAAAAGGGGCTGTCTGGGTTGCCAAGACTAATCCTTTTCACATCGGCAGAGGTAAAAAATTATTTTTGATATCAGATATAGATTTTTCTGAGAATGCCTTATCGAAGAGGGTTTGTTTGTTTGGGGCCTCTGATATGCTTTTATCCTACCCATGTGTGACTAATATGCCTAAGTACAACATCATATTTCATTCCAAAGGAAATTCTGATGGGTTTGATATTGTAACCCCTGGCCACTCGATTTTGTGCATCACCTTTATTTAAGATTTATAGTCTATAACATTTTTCTTTGAGAAAGGAGAACGTTCAATTTGAAAGTGCTCTCTCTTTCTGTGAATCCCTTCTTTGAGTGTCTTATTTATTAGGACTTAGATGATCACTCAGCTATGTCAGAAGATTCACATCTCCTTGTAAAACCAATGGCTTTGAACGGCTGATACAAAGGCTTTTCAAGACGAAAGGGAGGCATTCAGGAACAGTGGCCACCACACACACACACACACACACACACACACACACACACACTTACGTCTTGCACAGTCCTCTGTCTCCTTTTACTCTTCACCAAAGCAGGAGGTCTGATTGTGGGTAAGACTTTGCGCTAAGCTGCCTGGATTCAAGTTGTATCTCCTCTGCTAACTATCTGAGTGACCTTGGTAAGGTGATCCACTCCTCCGTGCCTCAGTTTCCTAATTTGGAAAATTAAATATCAGTTGGCTGTTGTATCTAACAAAGCCCAGCGGTGTAGAACTATAGCTATAATATCTCAGTGCTTATGAGTCAAGATAGCCAGGCCGGTTCTGCAGCTCTGGGCTGAGGTCCCTTATGTGTCTACGGGCTGGCTGCCTGATGGCTGATCTAGGAGTGGGCTTGACAGGGATGACTCCGGTGAGTTCTCTCTGCTCCACGTGTTTCTCCTTCCCCAGCAGGCCATCTGGGTGTGTTGTCATGACAGGGATGCAGGTGAAAACAGTGTGGAAACCCACCAGGCCTCCTGAGTCTAGGCTCAGAACTGGCACATTTTCATTGGTATAAGTAGGTGATAGGAAGGGACCCAGATCCAAGAAGTGGAGAAACAGACTCTGTCTCTTAAGGGGACTTGCTGTAGAATCATCTGGCAAAGGGCATGGACATGGGAGGAGGTGAATATTTTGGGGCCATCAAACCCAGCAGCCACAGGAGCTTAGTAGTCACAGATGAGTGGGCTGTTGCAGTGATTGAAAGAGTTAATGCATGTAAAGGATCTGGCACATCACAGATCCACAGAAATGCTAGCTAGATTTACTAGGAGGAGGAGAATTACCTAGCTACAGTATAATGTGGGCAGAATAGATAGCAGAGGTCAAGTGCAGTCAGTCTTCTCTGAAAGGGATTCTTGTTTTCCTTTTCTCTTTTTGTAAAATTCCAGTGGGTGCCTCCGTCCATCCCACCGCTGCTTCTTCCCCCCACTTCTGGTCAGAAGAGGTTAGCTTCTGTACCTTCTGTGATAATCCAAGGTCTCTTGTTGAACACATGAGGCGGGCCAAATCTACAAGTTCTCCATTATTTCTGTGAGCTTCTCCATGTCTGTTATTTTCTTTTAAGAGCATGAGTTATTAGGTAGGAGAACCCCCACATTTTCCTTTTGCTCTGTCTGACCTTTGCTCTGGTTAGTTCAGTGCAAAGTGGGCACCAAGTGTGGGGAGGCGTCTGGAAGGATTCATCTAATCTGAAGTTCTTAACTCAGCCGCCCGAGGCCCTTCTTCACAAAACTTTCTTGCTTTAGCCAGCAAAGAATGTTTGGGAATCTAGACATCTGGGGAACATATTTTTATTCTGGAGTAGAGTTCCCTTCTCTGGGTTCCAAACATTGGGATTTCTTCGGTTGGAGGAAGCTAGCATATCAGAAGCATGAAGTCCCTTCTGCGCTTGAATTGCTATTTCAATGCCTGTGAAAGGAGATTCGGCAGGGCCCCTGCTATCAGCTCGGGGCTTTTACTCTCGCCTGCTTCATTCTTTGGTTTAAGACTTACTAGAGCTCTTTTCTGGAATGATTATTCTGGGAAAGGGGAAGGAATTCTACTATAGAAGCCTAGAATAAAGATCATATCTTCAAGAGATCAGTGACACAGGTGTAGCTGGGAGATTGGGAGTGAAAAGAAATTGAAACCTCATGCAATTAGGAAACCAGTGCTAGTAATTTTTTTAAATCTCTGATGGAGATATCTATGCAAAAAGAGGTAAAAATATCTTTAGCCCTGGCTAAAACGCAGCAGAAGAGGGAGGCGGAAAATCAAGAACTAGATCTACATCTCAGTTTAGTCCGGCTGCTATAACAAAATATCCTAGACCAGGTAGCTTACACAACAGACATTTATTCCTCACAATTCTGGAGGCTGGGAAGTCCAAGATCAAGGTGGTGGTAGATTTAGTATCTGGTGAGAGCCTGCTTCCCGGTTTGGGGACCATTGTGTGCTCATGTGACCTTTCTTCAGTTCATGCTTGTGGACAGAGGGAGAAGTCTCCAACTTCTCTCCCCCTGAGAGTCTCACCTTCGTGCCTTCATCCAAACTAATCCCATCATGCTGTGGGTTAGGGATTAAACATGAATTTTGAGGGGACACAAACACTCAGCTTACAGCAATGTGAATTCCACAGAAAAACCCACTATAGCTCCAAATGTGTATTTTCGCCCCATCCATCCAGACTCTACCTTGATGCTCCTTCCTTTCCTAGTCTTGCCAGACAGCCTGAAGTCACGTATTTGCATTATTTTAATTTGTATTTTGCTGATCACCTTCAACACTTATCACAACAAAGCAATCCATGAGTTAAAAACAAGAATGAAAGGAGGTTGTGTTTCCTCAATGGTCTTAAACCCTATGTTAGTCTTCTTGCTACCCCTCTCTGGCTTACTTTTAGGTGTTGGCCCATGGCACTGTGATTATTTTGATTATTTGATTACTTGTGATTATAAACAATAGGAGGGGGGTCTCCTTTTTCCAGTTTTTACGAGGCCTCCAAGGTAACCACCCATCTCTGTCTTGTACCATCAGATGTAGATTACGGGCATGCACCACTGAAGGTGGTTTTGCGTACTTGAGGTTTTGATTGTAATTCAGCTGTTGGTGCAGACCTGGAAAATCATGACACAGCCCCCTGCACTGTCCATGTATCCACAGCAGCCTCCCCAGGCTGAATAGGAACCAAGGGGAGGGGACTTTAGGAGCAAAGCAACGAAAGTCATAAATCTATGTCTTGCTTAGCAGCTAGATAGGAATTCCCTGAATTATTAGAAATCATATGTTTGGAATTCAAGGCATTTTGGGAATCAGTGTAAAGCAATGATCACTGTCTGCTACTAAACAGTGAGGGGAGGAAAGAAACTCTTCCCTCCCAGGCCCAGCTTCTTTCTGGGAGGATGGAGCCTGGGATGGGGTGAGAGAGACCAGGGTACACTTTTCGGGGTCCTGCCTCCTCACTGCCTCATTCACTCCCCTGTTTGTGGCCCTTCTCTCTAGGCAAGTCTGGCCCGAGTTTGAATGTTATTACAGGTGTTCTCCACTTAGGAGATCAGGCCGGTTCTGACTCTGCTTTAGGAATCGAGCCAGCTGCGTGCTCTTGGAGAAGTCCTTGCACTCCATCCGTTCCCTCATTCCCCAGCATATGTGCCCAGACCCCACTACTGGGATCCCATTCGAGCTTAGCACCAGAAAGGAGTCCAAGCATCCAGAACCACAGTCTATGGGAGGGGAAAGCAGCATTTCACTGAGAAGCCCAAGGTCACAGAAAAAAATCCTTGCTGGAACCAGAAAGGAAGACGTCAGTCCAATCCTGTCTTTCAAGTAGGCACTTGCTGTTTTATCTTGATAGAAATAAAAGCCCACTGAGATATTTGTGTCTTCTGTGGGACGAATGAAACCTGGGGGGAGATTGGGTCCTAGAATGGCTGACTGACTTATCTTTTGCTGGAGATGGGAGCCAGCCACCATTTGTTTCTAAATGCAGCCGTTACTTCTGAACTCCAGCCTTCTAGGTTTTTCCTTTCCTTGAAACTACTAAGCACGTCTGAAGCATTCCCTTCCTTTTTTTTTTTCTTCCCCCTTTCCCTTCCAGGGCTCTTCTCCTCCTCTGATGCTTTCTGATGTTTAGACTTCAGCTTTGCAGACATTTTTTTTTTTTTAAATCTGTCCCTATCCGTTTGAGATTGACATTGTACTATACTTTGCCCTGAAGCACCTAAAGATAGCTCCACTAGAGCTATTCTTATTCTGATTACCAGGTTTTTAGCCAGCAGATCCACTGAGGACATTTTGCTATTTCTCAGGGGAGAGCAATGGGATTTTCTCTATTGGCAGATGTCAGTGGGGTAGGCTACTATTTATTATTACAGGATCAATAGTTGTTCAGTTGCCAGGGCCCAACTCTCTGGTGAGAAATAACTCACCTTGGCTGTGTCACGTTAGCTATGGTGGGCGGATGTAGCAAGTAAAGAGTTAATTACATTTTCATGTACATTATTACTCCTCAATATGCATATGTTCTTGTAACAACTTGAAATGAATGCATCCTACAGGCATTTGGCTGTGTCCTATTTGATACTTGGAAATTAATTATTTAGGCTGGTTTCATTTTTCTTGATGGTGTTACTTCTGCATTTATTTTTATGGAGTAAAAAAAAAGAGCTTCCAATAAAACTCTCTTGACAAAAGAAGAAAAAAATGACCACATTTGAGGGAATATATCAAGTTAAGTGTGAAGGCATGACTACTCTTTTAATGTATTCATACCTATGAATTAAATTACTAAGGGTTTTTGGTACAATAATGTCCTTTAGCACCTTCATTTTTCTGGCATGAAAAAGAATTAATTGACCACCTGTCCACACTAATGTAGAAAGAGTGACATCTTCAATGTTTGAATGCTAATTATTTTATAGGCTTTATGTAGTAGGGGGAAAAAGTCCCAACAATCTAAAGCATAAACTATCATTTCCAATAAGAAACAGGCCAGACCTGATTACAGAGCAACATATTAGACTCATTCATTCCAGGGCTGCATAAACAAGTGTGTCCATAAATTACCATTACTTTTGTTATCTTGGTTTTAGCCACATTCTTGTATGCCTCATTTTGATCTTACATTTGACACTAAACCAGATTGGGCAGGGATCTGATCAGCAATTTATAACCCTTTGTTTGCTCTTGAAAACAATTAAATTCTTCTGTGGTTTGTGATGACAGTTATGGAAGCAGAGTCTTGCTCCCTCCTTGGAGGGTTTTGAGTCAGTGGTGGACTAGATTCTGTTTCCATTAATGTTGGATCTTATTAGTAGCATCAAGAGAAGCTTCTCTCAATGTTATGGAAAAACATCAGCTCCCAGTGGCCAAGTTTGTTCCGTGGGTCAGGTTCTGTGGTAAGCCCTTTACGTGTATTAACCCATTTATTTTTATGAAAAACAAGTGAATTCGGTATTGGCACCCCCACTTTAAATTAGCAAACTGAGGCTTGGAGAGTGTACATTATTTGCTCAAGATTCCCGAGCTGTAACTGCGGATACTTGGAATTAAATCCTGTTTTCTCTGATCCCAAATAAACTCCATGTTTTCAACCACTTTATTAAGGCGCTCCTTTAAATGACTACTTTCTTTTCTCTTTGATGCAATAATGTTCCAAAGATTGGGTTCAGCCATATGACTTGAGATAATAAGCAATAGTTTTTGCATGCTGTGTATTCATGTTTTCCTTTTTTTCCCTTGTCCCTTTTAATTTAGTGTCATTACTCTATGAAGAAAGCAGCCTCCTTTCTTGGGATTGGTACAGAAAATGTTTGCTTTGTGGAAACAGATGGAAGGTAATGGGGACAGGATCCGGAAGCCTGGTGGGCGGAGGGGGAATTCATACTTTTTAAAAAGCAGTTCCAATGTCTGTTCACTACTAAACATAACTGAGCGTCTCAAATCTGTGTCTCTTAGAGGTAAAATGATACCTGAGGAACTGGAGAAGCAAATCTGGCAAGCCAGGCAAGAGGTGAGAGGGGAGAAGAAGAGGGAAAGAAAACTCAGGCACATATCTGGGTACGAGGGAGGGAATGCCGCAGCCAGATCTGTTTCTGTATGTGGGAGAGAGGAGAGCTGTTTAGGATTAACCTAGGGAGACTCATTTACAGATGTTCTATTTCCAGGTGCATGTTCTGTGCAGTTTCTCAGATGTTCTCATTCCCAGGTGGCTGGAGCCTATTAAAACACTGACGTCACCATATTTCGGATTCTTGCCTCAAATTAGCCTTCAAAGAAGAGCCTGGCCTCTCTAGCAGGGCCCCTGCGTCCAGTCTTCCACCTAACTGCCGACTGAGAAGTCTGTAGGCAGGACTAGTCATCTCTGGGTCGCATCAAAATGATTTCGATCTCTTGAGCAATCTCTCCTCCCAGATTGCTTCCACCCGAAGCCCGTGGCAGACCCATCACCTTATATGGGGTCGGGGCCTAGTATTTCAGCTCTGGCAGAAGGTCCTCTCTTCCTCAGCTGCCGGAGAGTATTAAAGCTGACGTATTCGTTGCCGGCGAAGGCGAGGCGAGGCCCTCTGCCTCCCCGCCATATTCCAGCCACTCTGGCCCTGGCACCTGCTTCTTAGGTGCGTGGTTGTGTTGGTGGCAGCCATCTTGCTTCTTGGACCCGAAGCTTGTCGGGTCGGGTACACCTCCCTCATTGCTTCCCTCTGGTCCCACCACTGCTCTCGCTGCTCGTGGAGTATCAGACCGTGCACCCGTGTTCAGGTTGGCGACTGCTGTAGCTGCTGCAAACAGGAAAGCGCAGCCTTGATTGAGCTGGGATAGAAGTGTCTCCTCATAGAGGTTCACACTCTAACAAATATAGGCTCTTTTGTTCATATTTTTGGTTGTAATCCCTTTCTGTTATTTTACTCTTAATAGTTTTGATTTTTCCTAAAAATCACCTTATGACCAGAGCAAGCTTGTCCACTGCATTTGGGTCGAAAAATTCTGTACTTAAAAAGTCTGCCTTTACTACAGGTGTACTGGCTTCAGTTGTGTGTCCTTAGATCTATATATATATATTTTTAACATGTTGATGACAAGTGGACTTGATAACTGTCTGGTGAGACAGATTATCAGATTTCATTCGCTCTCAGGTAAAATTCTATAGGACAGCCTGTGAGTGCTGCTGTGAACCATAGATACTGAGTTCTAATTTCATCTTTTGTCCCCCTAGGTGTGTTTTTCTACATACGTTCCTATCAAAGAGAACTTTGTTTATGTCATTAATGCTTATTGGGGAGGGGTAGAATATTGATTGTGTTTTCTGTATGGTTCACAGAATTTCTTCCTTCCTCCTTCCCCACTCCTTTTCACTCTTTCTTTCTTGAATTTTAAACTTTTCATTATAGAAAATTTCCAATGTATAAAAATGAATATAATGAGCCTCTCTGTACCCATCATGGAACTTCGACAATTGTTAGCTTCTGCTCTGTTCTGTTTCTGCTCTGTTCTGTCTACACCCCACCCCCTTCCACTACCACTAGATTAGTTTGAAGCCAATCTCACGCAGCATATCATTTGCTCTATAAATAGTTCAGTACATCTGTAAAAGCTATGTACTCTCTCTTTATTAAGAAAGAACACACACACACCATTACAAGAAATAATTTCTTAATACCATCAAATTTTCATTCTATATTAAAATTTCTCCTATTGCATTTTTTAAATAGTTGGCATGTTTGAATAAGGATTCAAAGTCCATATGTTGCATTTGGTTGATTCATCACACAAATCTTGTCTAATCTGTAGCTTCCCCCTCTTCCTTTTTTTCTCTCCCTGCAACTGATCTGGTGAAGAAACCAAGTTTTTTTATTCTGCAGAGTTTTCTACATTGTGGTTTTTGTCAATCACATCAAGAATTTGAGAATCTAAGTGTTCCCTTCCCTATATAATCCATCTGTTCTCTATCTTTCCTGTAATTTGGCAGTGAGATCTTGAGACTCCGTGAGACTTGGATTGGAATTTTTGCCAGGAAGGCTTCACAGGTGGCGTTTTGTCCTTCAGTCGGGACACATCTCCTGTCTCTTTTTGTGCTAACATTGATCGGTGGGTTCTGGTATTACTGGTCCATTTGTTACCGACCTCTGCTTCAGCCTCTCACCCCCTGAATCTTGCTGCCATTGATGATCATTGTCCAGACTTGTTATTTCCTTAGGTGATGTTCTAATTCATTCCCTCATTCCTCCTTCATGTAATGGCAGGCTTACTCCCATAACGGAAAACCTTCCCTCGTTCCTGTTTGGTTTCCCTGGTTATTTGCACAACCAGGACAGGATAAATGTTTTATTCTTTCTTTTTATTTGCCAGTTTTCATATTAGTGAGTTAGTTGCCTAGCATCCCCTAAAGATAGCCAAAGCGACTTTTCTTCTTTAGTATCATGAAAGAGGCATGCACTAGCATAGTTGATGGGTTTTATTCTGCTTCAGTCATTATGACTCTCATTGTTCACATTTTTGTTTGTTTTGACAATGAAAGTACATGAAATTGACATATCCTGAAGTTGAGAACTTGAAAAGAGAAGTTTTGAAAAAGTGAAAATTGGTGTAGGCACATTTAAAAGTAGGGCGATGGGATGAGAGTGGGTATGTCTCTTCAGTTTTCTTTCAAGTTAGTTAAAACTTGGATTCACTGAGGACAAAGCTTGAGATAATGCCTGGTGATTAGTTTATTTTTCCCCAGTAGCTTCAGACCTCGCTCTTTTGTTTCAAGCTTTTAACTCGTACTGTTACAGATGTGGGGCTGGCACATCAATTTTTTTTCTGCTGGGATTCAGTTCCCTGGCCCACCACAATCCATTAAAAATCTGTTGAGCAGTGACCTTTACTTGACACCATTATGAAAACTGCAGAAGCATCAGAGGCTCTAAAGTTCTTATGAAAAGATCAAACTCGTATAACCATTGAATATTTGAAAGTACCTTTGTGTACAAGTGTTTTAAATGACAAACTTTCATAGGGAATATAGCTCGTCAGCAGCACACAATCAATACTGTTTCCACTGAATTTTCTCACTAATTGCATGAAATATGAGAAAGGAAAAAAAATGGGAAGGTTAAATCCAGATTGCAAAAGTTTAATTTCTGGGCTTGATATTTATAGCTAGATTGTTAAAAAGGTGAGGAAAACTCATTAATAGGCTATAATAGCTTCCAAAGGTATTTTTTCACAACTGCTCAGGGTGTCATATGGTTTATAAGGAACAGTCCAAACATTAAAGACACCTTAAATGCTCTTAGGAAATTGCTTTTTCTCTTACTTTTAATGACTGATGCAAATCTGGTCTCATTTTACTTAGGTCACTGACATGATAAAGACATGATAAAGATAATCTGTTGGTAGTAGGGCACAGGGAAGAATTCCTAAAACCTATAGTTTCCCAGGGGCTCTCTCACCTACTGGCCCTGCTCTATCAGGTTTGGATGGACTGGATTCCATGTGTCACCACCATCTCCCCAGATGGCAGATGGAGTCATCATGTCCATCACTTTACGTCCTGTGTATCTCAATTTAAAGATGTGGGGGCGCCTAGGTGGCTTAGTCGGTTAAGCGTCCGACCTTCACTTAGGTCATGATCTCGTGGTTTGTGGGTTCGAGCCCCGCGTCGGGCTCTGTGCTGACTGCAGCTCAGAGCCTGGAGCCTGCTTCAGTCTGTGTCTCCCTCTCTCTCTGACCCTCCCCTGCTCACGCTGTCTCTCTCTCTCTCTCTCCTAGAAATAAATAAAAATATTAAAAAAAAAAAGATGTGGACTAATTGTCTTTGCTCTGCTCCGCTTTCCATTGAGAAGTAACTTCTTTCCATCAAAGGTCAGCTAAATGGGAATGAGTCTGGTTCAACTGTAACACCACCTGACATTAAATGGGACATAAAAATATATTGCAGGGACAGCTGAGCTTCAAGGTAAAACTGAGAGAAAAATATGACTCCATCCTAAACAGAGGCAAAATGACTTTCATAGGCAGTGAACGTCCTTGTCACTTATTCCTCAAGAGCTCTAGAATCTTAGGATTCTCATTGCTACCCCTACTTGTGTCTGCAAATTTTCCCTCTAAGTCACTTCCACAGTGAGAAAGCCTCATTGCTGACATGCTAGGATGAATCTACAAGGTAAACAATCTCATGTACTTCACTCTCTCTGGCTGCTCTGAAGTTCCTTATGGGACCAGGGCGTCTGGCTTGCTTGGCTGGAATTACCATTCATCTCTGTGTATATTCCCACAGTCTCCCTCCCTGCCTCCACCCCCATTTCTCTCTGGCACTTGTTCACTCTACAAGATTCAGCCATCGCTGTATTAAGAGGCATAATCATGGTAGGAGTGACACAGGTTCTCTTTTCTAGCACCTTCTAATGGATTTCTCTGTGGGGTACCCATTGTGGGAAGTGTATCCCAGTGAGTTTACTTTATCCCCCTGATACCAATTTGTACCTGAGCACACTCTTTGTTTTGTAACTTCACTTACTTCACAAAGAGACAGGCAGACAGTCCCCAGGGTTTGTACCTGGAGCTGCTTGTTTTCCACTCACCCTCTTGGTTATTTTGTGGAGGCTCAACAATGTGGGCACTCAGTCCCCAGTGAGATGCCCCCAAAAGGAGTTAGGAACCACACAGAATGCCAGTCTGGCTTTGGGGTGGAGGTTCCTCCCTTTCTATGTGGGAAATCTAAGAATATAAAATACTACGGAAAGAAAATGAGAGTAAAAATAGTTAGGATGCATATGGAGTTGGGACAAAGGACTCTTGCTTTGTTACATTTCCTTGATCTCTTTGATATGACAAGCAGCCATATTGTGGAGAAGTTGCAAAGCACTCTGAACGAATGGCACCTCCAACGGAACCGAGTAAATCTCTAGATGTATAACCATTCTGTTTACCAGCCTGCTACAGGACAAGTGTAGGGGTGACGGTGACCGTTCTTGTGTGTGGGTCCTCCTCACAGGGAGCAGCTCCATTTCTCGTCTGTGCCACCTCTGGTACAACCGTGTTGGGTGCCTTTGATCCTCTGGATGAAATAGCGGACATCTGTGAGAGGCACGGCCTGTGGCTTCATGTGGATGTAAGTGCATTCGTATGTACACATTGGTTCAGCTTCCTAGTCTATTTGCAGCTGTGCTGGGAAGTCTTTCATTTCTCAGAAACTAGACGTGAGCTCCCCAGCTTCTTTTATTTGTGTATTTCCTTCTTCTTCTTCTTTTTTAATGTTTATTTAGTTTTGAGAGAGAGAGAGAGCGTGAGCAAGGGGAGGAACAGAGAGAGAGAAAGGGAGACACAGAATCTGAAGCAGGCTCCAGGCTCTGAGCTGTCAGCACAGAGCCCGATGTGGGGCTTGAACTCATGAACCACGAGATCATGCCCTGAGCCAAAGTCAGACACTTTACCGACTGAGCCCCCCAGGCACCCCAAGTGTGTTTTTCTAATTAGGGGAAATATATATGTCATTTTCCATAAGGTAATAAAGAAGAAGTTCCCAAGACTTGATGTAAATTTTGGTTTTGTTTTCCAGATTCTATTTTATTTCCTCTTCTCCCATGAACCATTTCCTCTGGCCCCTTCAATCTACTACTGTCATGATGCAGGTGTGGTATGAGGGGCGCTTTGAACTACAGAATCAAGAGACTTTGACTTTGGGTCCTAACTGGCCTCTTCTTCATTGTGACCTTACCCATTTGGGCTTTGGTTTCATTTGTAAAGAGGGAAGTGGCCGATGTGGTCTGTGAGGAGTCTTCTAGCTCTAAAATTACATGATTCCAATCAGCCAGAAAATGCAAAATGCTGCATTACATAATTGCATGCTATAATTACAACAGGTTTTGTCTGGATCCATCGTAGATAATTATTTGAGAGGGACTGGGATAACTTACACTCCTCATAATTTTCTAACTTAAAGAATTGATTTTTTTTCTAATTAATTTTATAAGTCCTAGAGCTGTTCATAATAAATTTTCCCTTAATTAAAGGTAACTCTTCAAATTCTGCTAATCCAGGGTTAAAACTTTGAATCTGGCCAGTTCTGAATGCTGGCTGAGCTTTTTGGTTCTCTTTTTTCTTTTCCTTTTTATAAACCCAGGAGTTAATAAGCTTGATTCAACCTAAAAGAAGTGATGGTTGAACATAGTGATGACCTGATAGGGAACTGCCTTCTAGTAAGTGAATGATTCACATCCTCCTTAGCAGAAAAAGGAAGAACCCTATTCTTGATTTTCTGAATGGAAGGTAACTAGGCATTTGGGGGAGATGCCTACACGTGATTTTATAGTTTGTATGATTTGATGCTTTCAAAGCAAAGTGTCTGTGTTTCAAAGAGGATTTTTCAGCAGCTCAAGGCTTTCATTAAGCAGATGCTAATATTTGGTAAAAGCAGCAGTAACGTAAAGCTCGCTCGCCAGAGTCACAGGCTCTATTAGTATGCCGATGGCAATGCTTCAGGTAGATTATTTGTGACTTTAAATGAGATTGTAGCATTTGTATCTGTTCACATTTCAGCTTTTATCTTATTGATTTTTAGAGACTTAGGAGCATAATAATACATTACGTCCTAAAAGATAATAAGAAGTGAGTACTTTGTGACTGTGGAAATAAGGGGGAAAAATCAAGTATATCAGCAGTTATACTCAAAAATTCCATTCTCATAAAAGAAACATCAAATATGGATTATGTACTTTAGAGAAAGCAGAGCAAGTACAGCAGTTTCTAAATTGGGGGTGAGATTAAAGACTTAAGAGAGGCTCAGAGAGAATTGTGATTTCTAAGTATGAATGAGAAACTCCCTAGGTTTTTCTAAAGAAAAAAAGTTGGATTTTTTTTAAGGAAACCGTCTTATAAGGGAATACTTAAGCCCCACAAAGTATTCGATTCACACCTAGTAGGCATCTAGTAGTATTAGACAAATGAGATAACAGTTTATCTGACCTGTTAACGTAATTAGCTCTCACACTGAGGCAGTGTTCACTCATACTTTAATATTACAGGCTGGGGATGCCCCGGGTGGTCAGTGGGTTCAGCCTCCCACTCTTGGTTTTGGCTCAGGTCATGATCTTGCAGGTTGTGAGTTCAAGTCCTGAATCAGGCTCCACATTGACAATGCAGAGCCTGCTTGGGATTCTCTCTTTTTTCCTCTCTCTCTGCCCCTTCTTCACTTGTGCTGTTTTTCTCTCTCTCAAAATAAATAAATAAACTTAAAAAAAAAGATTGCAGGCTGGATATAATGAAACATTACATTATGTTATTATAATAATCATATTGAATCATCTGTTGATAAAATTTTATAAAGGGGGGGTGCATGGAAAGCTCAGTCTGTTAAGCATCCAACTCTTGATTTCAGCTCAGGTCATGATCTCATGGTTTGTAGGACTGAGCCCCACTTCAGGCTTTGCAATGACAGCACAGAGCCTACTTGGGATTATCTGTCTCCTTTCTCTCTGCCTCTCTCTCTCTCTCTCTCTCAAACTAAATAATAAAGTTTAAAAAAACTTTAAAAATCTCTAAGAAACTTCGTATACCACAGATAGTTTATTAACTTTAAGATACAAATTAGCCAAATTGTAGTAATGACTTTGGCCTGTCTGAAATTTTCTCTAAAATATTTTTAAATCCTATAAAATATTAAAAACTGTTATCCACTTGATTTCTTTTTTAAAAGTGTAATTACTGCCCTTTAGGGTGTCCCATAAAACCACTTTGCCCTGCATCTGTGACATATTTTATTAATTCTAAGATACACTTACTTTGTTTACACTGTAATATCTCTGAAGTTGGTATGTTGATGTCATTGTTTTTTCTTTCTTGGTGGCACACAAAAGGTGGTGACTCTCACCTTTTGCAGTGTCATATATTTGGTTAATTTCAGTGCATTTTTACACAAGTGCTTAAGGAAAACTTTGTTTTCTTTGGACATTTTTGTCTCTGGCGCTAGCCTTCCTTCAGAATGACAAATGTTACTGCAGCCTCTGCCTCAGACTGGAAGAACCGTCTGGTCTGGCTCTTCTCTAAGGCAGAGGCTGGGGCTGCTGCAAGGTTTTTCACTCCCACCAGTGCTTTGTGAGGTGTCTCACCCACCCTTCCTTCTCTGTCCCAGGGGAGGGAGTAAACAGTGTATGTATTTCTCATCAGGGTCTTTAGATGCTGCCGGATCTCAATTCCACCCTGGCCTCCACCCTCCTGCCCGGATTGGTATTGCTAGTAATTTCCTAAGTAATTAATCAAAGAGAAAAACATACAGGAGTGCTGATGCATACACCATGTGTACCCCCATGTTTATAGCAGCCCTTTCAATAGCCAAACTATGGAAAGAGCCCAGACGTCCATCCACTGATGAATGGATAAAGAAGTTGTGGTTTTATATTCAATGGAATACTATTTGGCAATGAGAAAGAATGAAATCTTGCCATTTGCAGCAACGTGGATGGAACTGGAGGGTATTGTGCTGAGTGAAATAAGTCAGGCAGAGAAAGACAGATATCATATGATTTCACTCATATGTGGAACTTGAGAGACTTAACAGAAGACCATGGGGGAGGGAGGTGCACCCTGTCGACCGTGCACCTCTTTATTATTCAGAATGGCATCTCATGATCAACGTTGGCACGTTGTGTCTTGGAGAATGCCAGCATTGCAAAGGATATTGTCCACTTTCCTCTTAAATACAAAGGACAAACTTGGGGCTGCCAGACAGGAGGTGGGGAGGTATGGGTGGGGGTGAAGTAGGTGAAGGGAATTAAGAGGCACAGAGTTTCAGTTATAAAATAAATAAATCACAGAGGTGAAAAGTACAGCATAAGGAATATAGTCAATAATATTGTAATAACGATGTATGGTGACAGATGGTGTCTATGCTTGTCACGGTGAGCACTGAGAAATATATAGAATTGTCGAATAACTGTGTTGTACCCCTGGAACTAATATAACATCGTATAGCAACTATGTTTCCATAATGACACTAAAAAGACCATTCCTTCACTGGATTATTTGTTTTTTGGGTGTTGAGTTTCCTAAGTACTTTAGAGGTTTTGGATACAACCCTTTATCCCATATGTCATTTGCAAATATCTTTTCCCATTCCATCGGTTGCCTTTTACTTTTGTTGATCGTTTCCTTTGCCGTGCAGAAGATTTTTATCTTGATGAGGTCCCAATAGTTCATGTTTGCTTTTAATTCCCTTGCTTTTGGAGATGTGTGCCTGGGGAGAGGGGAAAATGGGTGCTGGGCACCGAGGAGGCCACTTATTGGGATGAGCTATGGGTGTGGTATGTAAGCGATGAACCATGGAATCTACCCCAAAAACCAAGAGCACTCTGTACACACTGTATGGTAGCCAGTTTGACAGTAAATCATATTACAAATAAATAGAACATGCACCTACCAAGAATAAAAATAAAAAATAAAACAAAAAACAAAGGATATTGTCTATTTTAGATTTGACGTTCGATAAGATGTGGACTCTGTCTTTTAAACCACTTTTCATCCACACACAACCCAACAGGTTACTATACCAATTTCCTTATGATGTGTGGATTTAAATCCTAAGGGTCAATGGGAGCCCACTATTGCGATGGGGCTCCTCTTGACTGAGTGAGAGCGAGGGTCAAAATTTTTGGAGTAGCCATGGCTTAACCTGGGCTTCCCACAAGGTATCCAGTAAGGCACATTGACGTCATCACTCAGGGTTTTCTATGACAGCCGCCTGGCAAATGAATGACATGGAATAACGTGGTTATGGTCCTCTAACTATCTCCACAGGCTTCTTGGGGAGGCTCCGCGCTGATGTCGAGGAAACACCGCAGCCTCCTGCATGGCATCCACAGGTAAATAGGGTTTTCTAGGCGCGGTGCCTTGCATTAGGGGAGGGAGTCAGTGTGGATTTTGCACGCTAAAGTGACAGTATGAAAACAAAGAGACCAAGTAATTGTTTGACTTAAAATTAAATGAAACAAACCCCTAAACTCCCTAAATTCTTCAAACGAGGAATCCTCTGGAACACCCAGGTGTGAGTATCACGTGCTACCAATGATTGTCTTGTTGCCGCCAGTAGGAGCTACTTAACGTGTCTCTGTCCCTTGTCCTTTCTGTTTTCCGGGCCAGAGCCAACTCGGTGGCGTGGAACCCCCACAAGATGCTGATGGCTGGGATTCAGTGCTGCGCTCTCCTTGTAAGAGACAAATCCGTGAGTTCTCCTTTTCCTCTTATGGTCTGTGGGCGTGGCGGAAGGTCAGACTGTGTTTTCAGAGGACCCACTTTAGCTTATGTTTTTCTTTTTAAATTTTTTGATGTTTTATTTATTTCTGAGAGAGAGAGAGACAGTGTGAGCAGGGGAAGGTCAGAGAGAGAGGGAGACACAGAATCTGAAGCAGGCTCCAGGCTCTGAGCTGTCAGCACAGAGCCCTACGCGGGGATCGAACCCACAAACCGTGAGATCATGACCTGAGCCGAAGTTAGAGGTTTAACCGACTGAGCCACCCAGGTGTCCCTCTTTAGCTTATGTTTTTGTGCTTTGGTCCAGATACGGTGGAAGGTCTTCAGTTGATGGCAGTGGCCTGAAAAGGAAAAATCAAGAGGGGGCTCAGATTGAAAGAAAAAAAAATCTAGTATTTCTGCTCAGGTGCTTTTGTGGCTTAGATTTAGGTCTTACAGAATCTCATTAGTTACAGCCACATGGGCTCTCTTGCCTTCATCTGGATTATATTTGAAACTCGGTTTTAAACATGGCCAAGATTTTGTTCTCCTTGATTAAGCCTGGGATTGAAGTTATCTTGAAACTTCTGCTTGCTGAGAGGGTGGAACAGATGTGTGTCATACATTAAATTGGGTGCTTAATACGCTTAGCTGGGGCTTAACAGCACACGGGTATGGGAAGATATTGGTTCCGGGCTGAGCACCAAACACTGATTTATTATCTTCTTCTGGAACATTGAAGGAGGCAGGGGGTGGGGAATTAGTCTGGATCACAGCGGGGCGGTGGGGGGGGAGGGGGCTACCTCCTGGCCACATGTATATACCCTGTGTTTTTCCGTGGGTAAAATAAGGACTCCTGTGGGAAGTGGCCCAGGCTGGGAAGTGCCACTTCATTCTTAGAAGTGCCTCCTCAGGATCTGCGTGCAGCATGTGGGTGATCCTTCTCAGCCATCTGTTTACATTTTTTTTTCCTTAGGGGGACTCCCTTTGCCAATGCTAAAGTCATTTTCTCTTTTTAAGGAATTTTGTTTCAAACAAAAACCATATTTAACGTTAAAACCTCGTCTTGCGCATGCAGATAGTCACAACTCTCTTTCAAAATGAATTGTGACGTGTGTGTGTCTGCCCTCCTTGTGTTTAGAGGTGACCAAACCGAATGCCCTAGTAGGGGCCACGGGCAGGCCACTGAAAATGTGCCCTGATGGCACAGTGATTGTTTTGAATTGAAGCTCCTTGGGAATCGGTCAGTGCAAGGACACTCAGGTCCCCTCTGTCCTTCTGAAAACAGAAGACCAATCTCCCACGTGAAAGGTACCCTCTCTATAGTAAGAACTAACAAGACATCCTTACTACCAGAGACAGGAACTTTAGAGCCGAGAAAGCTTCACAAAGAAACTCTTTTCTTTTTTTTTTTTACCAATCTACTACCTCAGCCCAAACTCCACTTGAATTCTTTACCAATGAAAATTCTCAAACCTGTCTTCTTTATCCTGTCAGTGCCTCACAGATTTATTGTCTCATTGTCTAAAACGCATAAAAACAGCATTGGTCGTTTGTTTGGGTCTTGATCTCGTTCTTTGGGCTCCACGTGCCCATAATAAAACTTTTGTTTTTCTCTCTTTTTAATCTGTCTTTGTGGAAATTTAATTCTTTCTTTAAAATTTGTTTTAATGTTTATTTATACTTGAGAGAGAGAGAGAGAGCAGGAGAACAGAGCGTGAGCAGGGGAGGGGCAGAGAGAGAGGGAGACACAGAATCTGAAGCAGGCTCCAGGCTCTGAGCTGTCAGCACAGAGCCTGACGCAGGGCTTGGACTCCCGAACCGTGATATCATGACCTGAGCTGAAGTCAGACCCTTCACTGACTGAGCCACCCAGGTGCCCCTAAATGGAAATTTAATTCTGAGTCCAGTTAGAAGAACCTAGGACAAAGAAAACTTTCTTCCTCCCCTTCAGTAGCCATCAGAAGCTACGAACCAATTCTGCATCTAGGGATAGAAATATTCTCAGAAGTATGAATGTATTGCCTCTTATTTTATTAGGTTGGCTGCTGTTGACTGTATTCAACACGATTTCTTTCTTTCTTTCTTTTCTTTTTTTTTTTTTTTTGCATTTAACTTCTCAAATTATGACTTCATTTTCTAACTGAAAGGTAGTTTAAGATGACTCTATCATTCGTGAGCCAAGGAACACCCTCAGCTTGCCTGTGGTACATATTTAGGACATGACAGAGTTAGGAAAAAACCCAGGTTTTCCTTTGCTCTAGACAGAAGAACAAAAATATGTCAAAAATCTGTTCTGTGCCTGGCATTCTGCATCTGCCTTCTCCCCAGTCCGCCAATCCGAAAGACATCCTTATCAGCTGGTGTGGTGCTCTCAGGAGTGAAAAAGTTAGACCAAAAATTTGACGACTGCCCTTTTAAATAACTTTCTAGCTTTTATACATTTTTCTTGACGAATGATATTTTAGCCAAGAATTGATTTGTGTTTATGTACTTGATGCAATTCAAAATTTTCCACATCATCTAACTCTATTAAAGGGGTGACGATTTTATTTTATTTATGTAAAGAATTCATTCCTGGGTCTCAATAAAAACAATACCCAGGTCGACTTACATGGTAGGAATTAAAAATTTGGGAGAATTGCATTTGTTGTACAAAGAAATGAACATTATTGCTAGTTGTCTTTTTTTACTGATTTTAAAAAGTTTATTTATTTTTGAGAGAGAGAGAGAGAGAGAGAATAAGCAGGGGATGGGCAGAAAGAGAGGGAGACACAGAATCCTAAGCAGGCTCCACGGTCTGAGCTGTCAGCACAGAGCCCGACGTGGGGCTCGAACCCACGAACTGCGAGATCATGACCTGAGCTGAAGTCAGATGCTTAACCAACTAAGCCACCCAGGCACCCCAAAAGTTGCTTCTTTTAAAAGCAAAAGATTGTTTTTATTTTATTATTTCTTTCTTATTTTTTTTGTGAGTGAGAGCATGAGCTAGGGAGGGGCAGAGAAAGGGAGAGAGACTTTGAAGCAGTTTCTATGCTCCGTGGAGACCCCAACATGGGGCTCGATCCCACAACCCTGGGAACATAACCTGATCCAAAATGGAGTCAGACACTCCACCGACTGAGCCACCCAGGTGCCTCTTAACATAAAGGATTGTTTTTCAATTATCTGGGATGGAGAGGTGAACCATGAGCGATGGAATAGGACAACGTGCTTAAGCACGTTTTGCGTTGGCAGTTTTCTGTCCCTTTGGCACCTATTTTCTGCCTCTGTTCTCTTTCGTATTCATTCTTTCATTATTCAGCCAACACTGACTTCCTGGGTAGGCCAGGTGCTGTGCTAATTTGGGGTTCATAAAACAGGCACATTCCCTGTAGTCAAAGAGTTTATCATCTTACCATGGAGATGATGAACAAAATGTTCATATTTAATTCTTTTATTATTATTTTCATAAGTCCTCCGCAGAATGTGTCCGACACTGTTGATCATATATTCTATAGCCATTCCAACCTCCTTTCCTTCTGCCTCCCGAAAACTATCTCCCCAGTCTCCCTTGCAGTAAGGACCACTATATGATACAGTTATGGTCAGTACGGCCTCGAGGAAGCTCTTGAGAAATGTTTTACCTGCAGCTAGGGGTGATCTACACAAGAAAAAGGCATCCTTTCCCCTTTTCTACCTGGAATGAAGCTGGGTCAGAACATGATGCCTGGAGTTCTGATAGCCACCTTGCAACCATAGGATGATGACCCTAAATCAAAAAGTGAACATGCACAGACTGGCTGAGCTGAAAGGGGGAAAGGCTCAGTCTTGAATAATGATTTTGAAGTGTTGCCCTGATCCTGGAAGTGATAACTTGCAAATATTTTGTGAGATGAGGTCATTTAACGTCCTTATTGCCAAAACCATTTCCATTGGGTGATCTGTCATTTGCAGCCAAATGCACCCCTATCTGATACAGAAAAGAGTGTGGCACTCAGAGAATGCATACCAGGGAGATCTGAGGTGTTTCAGGCAGGAAAAAAAAAAGCACGTACACTTTTGTTTTTCTTTTTAAGAAAGGAAGGAATTTTAAGAAATGAGCCCAAGCATGCTCCACACTGTCAGCACAGAGCCTGACACAGGAATCAATTTCACGAACTGTGAAATCATGACCTAAGGCAAAGTCAAGAGTCATGCTCAACCGGCTGAGGCACCCAGGTGCCCCCAGAACAAAGAAGGAGTTTTAAAACCAGAAAGTAATCTGAAAAGATGTTCATTTAAGATGGTGAATTGGAGGTGGGCAAGAATGAATGCAAGATTAAGAAGCCTGCAGTATCTAAGCAAGAGTTGATGGCAGGGGAGATGAAAAAGTGTGATGAAATTGAAGTTATACATACCTATCCACTAAGTAGCCAGGGCTGAATTGCCATTTATATGAGGGAGATGAGGACCAAGTAAGTGTCATAATTGACTCTGATTAGTGATGCAGCAACTGAGTGAATGTTCATGTGTAGGCGGCTGGAGATTGCCAGAGGATGAGAAGATTTGAGAGTGAAATATCTTGACTTTAGCGTTGGCTACATTAAATTTGGGATTCCTAGGAAGTTTTCGAGTGAAGATGTCACATAGGCAGTGGGCATATAGATCCAGAGCTAGGAAAAGGGGCCTGGGCTGGAAAAGAATATTGGGAATTCCTGACATGCAGATGTTCTCCAAGGTCCTAGGAGTGGAATGGAAAGTCTTGGGAGGAACTTGGAAGTAAGAGAAGATGTAGAATTTGGCCCTGAGGAAGTTCAGAGTCCATGAAAGCTGAGGTTGGAATGGGTGGGGAGATAGGAAAAACATCAGGAAAGAGGGGTGCTAACATAATACTCTTTGAGAGAAGAAGGAATGTTCATGCCTGTCATTCTTTGTGTTGAAGCTTAAATGTAACCTCCTTAAAGAAAAGATCCCAGACTTACCAGGTGGACTGGCATCTCCCCATTATTCTTTCTCAGACCCTGTCCCCTT